CGATACTGGGGCACTTTTTCCTGATGCAAAACTACAAACCCCATTTCCTCTGGATAATCAAAATGCTATTTCCTGTCATGTAAACAGAAATATTAAGCGGAGCCGTTAGTTTTGCAATCAAGGAAGCAGTCAGATTATTGTTGTTTTTAAATGACAGTGTTTGATGGTTGCTGCGTCTGACACATTTAGCCAGCACAAGGGGAGATTGAGGAGTGAAAATGAGAATAGAAAAACCCTCAGAGGACACTACAATCAGAGCCCACAGGTGGATGCTGATTAAATGCTACACTTAACCAATAGCAGTGACGATAGTAGCAAGCATGATTGCGCAGAGCACGGCAGCTTAAGCGCATTAACCTTTAGCTCACGGTGAGACGAATATGTGATGCAGAGAGTGGAGCATGTCCCATGTAATACTGTTTTCCACCAATAACACATGTATTTATCCTTCATGCAGATTGCTCTGGTGCCTCTGGACACCGGAGCACAAGTTTCAGGAAAATAACTGCTTTGATGCTCAGTTGTTATTGAGCTGGAATACACATTGTGCAAGTGTGCGGTATGTAATTTTACAGCATGAATCACTCGCAACGTGCTACAAGTATGCCTCTGCTGAGCTCTGTCACGGCCATTGGTATTCATGCTGCCTCTCTGACTATGCAGCATTACAGCCACTAACAGCAGCAGAAGCTCTGCTATCAGTGCTGTGCTCACACACTGTTTCCTTGGCCACATAACTCTGTCAGGACCACTGCTCCAGATTCTGGTAGCAGACAGATGCAAACACTTTTTGTTGGCTCTGTCCTGAAAACCTAGACTTAAATATGTTGTAGGTGCAAACTGTCGTGGAGTATAAGTGTTTGATTGGTCTGTCTGGATAAATAAATACCAGGGTGATACATGAATAAATATATAGAATTCATCATAAAGGCAAAGCATCACTTGCATAAACATGATGATCAAATCAGATGACTCTCACATGCGAACACGTGCACATGACTGCAGCAAGGATGGAGAACTTTCCTCCGGGGCGTCAGGATGGTGAACTTCAGCCCTGCTACATCTGATGCTGCTTCACAATCGCTTCTCTTGTTGGAGACTTCTTTCCACAGCCGAAACCCTCATCGGGCCAACATCGACAGCCTACAGCTACATCTCATGCACCTTTGTGACCTACTTGTGCAAGAGTGCAAGAGTAGAGCCCGTGGTTTGAACAAAGAAGTCATATCATCCACTCATGAGCAAACTACTGTCTCTGCTTGATCAAAGACAAGCGTTGGGAAAGATCATCTATTTAGTCTAAATAGAGACAACTTAACTTGCATATTAGGGACAATAACAACTGACCTGTATCTCCTTTGAAACTTCATAAAAAGCTAAAAAAAAAAAGAATCTGAGCACTCTTATATATTAAATCATCAGTATGGTGTGCCTGCAAGAAGACTCCACGATATTTAGCTCAAACACACCTAATAAATACAGCAGGAGTCTGTGAAGAAACTTTAACGTAAAAAAGCATCTCGCCACTGTCGCGGTGCCAGTCGGTGCCAACACATTTGCCTAAAAGAGACGGACGCAAAAAAACACTCTGAGCAGTCACACTGTTTGTGGGCCACAGGGAATGTGCTACAGAAGTAAGTGTAATAACCTTTTTTCCAGTCGTGATCTTTCTTTTCCCTCATCTCGCAAAAAGCCTTTCTCTACTCTCTAGCTATTAAATGAATGTGTCACCTCTTTTTTCTCTCTGCTCACGGACAGACAGACAGGCAGCACAGGCAGGCAGTCCTATTCCCCGAGCCTGCAAACAGGACACTGGCCTTTTATGGATGCTCCTCTCACATTCCCTAATGGATTCTCCTATTATATGATAACAAAAAATGGAAGCTCCATTATAACAGTTTGAGTACAGTCCTGCCTTTTTAACACAGAAACTAGCTGTTCTCTGTCTGCTTATATATGATGGCGTTACAAATTCCAGTTGAAGAAATGTAATAAACAAATAAAACAATGTTTGTGCACCTGTAATACCAACACACTGTGCATGTATTATACATTGTGAGAAAATAAAAATACCTGGGAATCAGAAAAGAAGTACAACTAGCTGGCAACCGGCACTCACTGCAATGAACATTCATGTAGTTTATCATATTCAGGTTGAAAGTAGATTATAATTAACAACTTCAAACTCACCACACAAGATTTCAGGCAACACAGAGCCTGAAATTACAGAAAGAGATACCCAGGCTGAGGAAACTAAATCCTACTAAACTTTGTTATCACCAACCTTCTCCAGCTTGTCAAAATGCTCCCGCAGGAACTTCATAGGACGCTCAGGCTTCGCGATGCAGAGGTTCACGATGCACTCTTTGAGGATCTGCTGGATGTTGTGCTTCTGCACAAAGATTTCACAGCCCTTCAAGCTCTCGTCTTCTTCCAGAGTGGAGGAGGAGGTGGCCATCTTATCTTTTTATCTCTGTGGCAGTGGGAGAAAACAGGGTGGACCATGAGAGGAGGGGAGGGAAAGCTCCGTAGAGAAAGTGGCAGAACAGGGGCAAAGGAGGGGCAAAATGCAGCGCATACAGAATGATACGAGGAAAGTAGAATGGAGGCGCAATATAGTCGTGGGAAGGAGGTGAGTGGACATTTCACATCTTGCTGCTTCTTGTCCTCCAGACATGAACTATTGTCAGTTGGCAATACCCTTAGCATGACATGAGAGTGCACGATGAAGGTAATAGTTGTGTAAGTGTATAACTTTCTTAGTTAAATAAAAAAGATAATTTTGTAAACAGGGTTGGGCAATATGATGACCATTAGACAATATGAATTGGTCACCTGAGAATTTGTCATTCTGTTTATACCATGGTAGCTATTTTGTCATATTTGGTTCCCATATTGTTATTAAAGTGTATCCCTGGATGCATAACTAATGCATGAATATGTATTGTATATGTATGTATGAAGTGTGAACGTTTTACTGTGAAACTGGTTATTTGTGAAAGTTAAACACTTCAGCGGGTGAAGGCAAAGCAAATCACATGATGGTGTATGACAACTGCCAACAACAGCTATGATTATGTCAAACTACAGTTATGTCAAATAACATAGTAGCATGTCTCTCATAAGAAGTCAGGGAGCTGAGCAGGTGTAGCTAACTGTTAACCCTGTATCACTTCCTCATATGGAAATCACTATCATGTGTTTTTGTTCATTGCATAATAAATCTAAATCAGTTATGCATTCAGGTCATGGCATCTACTAAGTTGTCTTAGTAGATGCAAAACAGTGCCATCACATAACAATGTCCCCATGCGTACTGTGGAGCTGGTGATGAAACTGAGCACCTGTTCAGTTGCATTCAATAGACAGCTAGCCCCGCTAGCTCTGCTAACATTACAATGACAACCAAACCACAACGAAGGGGATGTACTGCGACGTAAACGCTATGAAGGGCCTGATCTTAGCCGCTGTTAAGTGCTCATAAAAACACGATCTAGTCGGTGCTCTCGCTGGTGTCCCTACCGTTATTTGTGGAGGATGCTCACAGAGAAAACACCTCGCTGGCGGTGGGAGACTGGTGAGGAAGGCTACCGTTGGTTAGCCGGGATGCTGCTGCTGCCTGCTGCTGCTGCTCTCGTGTCTCTCTGATAACTCGGCTCGCTCTGCGTCAATCCCGATGACGTCAATCTGTCATGCCCTCGACCGCAGCGACGCTCTCTCGAGGCCAGCGGCATCGCGCCCGGGCCAGCCCCCCTGCAGGTAAAGCATCTTTGAAAGGAAACCTCCGCTTCTGCAAGACTGGAAACGTTTTATCCTGTAGGTATTAAAGACAGACTGTGGGATGAGTACCGCCATTTAGAGAGAACCCGTGAACGTCTTTGGTGCAGGTTCAAAGTCAGAGCCTTTTTTTTTACCAAAATGGTAACATCAAATGGAAATGTTTTATATTTTATTATTCATCCCAGCACTCTTTGCACTATGTATTCTTATTAGCAATACTAGTATGACTTGCATAGGCATATGTTTGAATGTGTGTACACAATAAATATGGGTGTTATATAGTTATAATTCAGCTTTGTTGTCATTGTTTACTTTCTGCAAGAACAATGAGAACAACTTATAACTGGAGTCAAATTCCTTGAAGGTGTACACAGACTACTTGGCCATTCCAGCTGATTCTGATTGTAATATTTAATTCATTCAACTGTTACATTGTATTTTTCCAAGATTAATGATGTATGGTTTTGGTTATTTTTGTTGTTTTTTAATATGAAATGTACATTGTGCTAGTTCAATGATATTGCACATGAGCACAGTGAACATGTTGAGTCAAGAAACACTGAAATGAGCCAATAAAATCAAACATGTGTATTTTAAGGGGTTTCTGATTCACCCCTGTGAGCACATCGAGGTTTAACACTCAATCAAAGTGAAACCCATGGATTTGGTCATCATTTTAATGTAAATAGACCCGACAAATGCCTCCTGATAATACATAAATTCAAGTCTCAAAGGTCCTGAAATAAGCTGATTGTGACATTTTGAGGGGTATATGTCAATAAAAATATTAGAAATGAAAGGACACACCATACACCTGGCATTGGGGGCCCCTAAGGGACTTGCACATACCCCTTTGCCCAATTTCTCCGAGCTTAATGTCAAAGAGGCTTATAAGTGTGCTTCATCAAATATCACTGAAATAATTCTTAAATTGTGTGTATGTTGCACACAGTCGCAAGTTTATCTGATTATTTTAAATCCGAATTATTGTCATTCATATTCTAATAAGGGGATTTGGCGTCAAAACAATGAATTAAGTGTGTTTAGGGTCGTGACACCGCCTTATTTAGTTTTGTTAATACAAACAGGAACATAGAGGAGAGAGCTTGATGCAAGAGAAAAAGGTTGTGTATGTAAATAAAGTTTGAGATTTTGAATCGGAAGCTACCGTAAAGTAGCCGTTTGTTTGTCGCGCAGCTTCCGGGTTGTCATAACGACAGTCAAGATGGCAGCGATGGCGGCTGGAGACGAACATGCTGCCTCTGAAGTTTTGAGAGGACTCGCCAGACATTTAAACTGTCTAAACGAAGACAACAAGGCGACCAGAAAGAGAGCTCTTGAGCTAATCAAGAGAGAGACTGTAGACAAAGGACATCCCAGCAGCGTCCTACAAGAGGTTTTCTCTGCCCTCCTCAAGCCTCTCCTCAAATGTCTGTCAGACCCGATGGAAAGATGCAGAGAAACCGCGATAACCATGATAACAGAGTTCATTCGTTGTGTCCCAAAACCGGAGGAGTCGCTGCCGTATCTCATGCCCTGTCTGGCTCAGAGGCTCGGGGAGAAAGAGATCCCGGAGCCGGCGGAGGAGCTTCGGCTGTCGGCCGTGGAGTTGTTGACACTGATGGTGGAGGTGTGCGGGAAGCATTTAGCGCCGTATCTCACCGAAGTGATCAACATACTGCGGATAACCATCGTGGACCCTTTCCCAGATGTCCGAAGAGAAAGCTGCAAATGCACCATACACTTTGCAAAGTGTGTGCCAGGTTAGTGGAAAGGTTTTTTTGTTGTTGTTGATAGTCTGTTCCCATGGTTTCGAGGCATGCACACGTTAGTGACTTCGACTGAAACACTAGAATTGCTTCTCTTCAATGTTACAAAAGTTTCAGTGTTTTACTTCCATCACTTGTCTCAAATATCCCTGCAAATACTATTATCGATTAATCTGTCAGTTGTGTTTTTGATTAGTCATTTGGTGTAGCGGTTTGTCAGCAATCAACCCTTTGACCAACTGTCACTACTTCTAAATGTCTTGATTTATGACAAGTCAACCATTTTCTGCTCCCTTATTTCAGCTGAATCATTTCTAGATGCCTGAAAACATAAGATTTTTTTTTTCAGTAATGCATCATTTTAAGAAAGAGTCTTGCAACCCCTTAGATGGACTCGCATCTCATTATTTATATCCCATCAATCAGCTTGATAGTAACTGAATTGAATGGTGTGGTATTCATTTAATCTGTTTCTGTTTTAGAGCACTTTCACATGCAGGCTGAGAGTCTTGTTAAGCCTCTGATGCAGACGATTTCTCATCAACACTCCCGGGTACGAGTGTCTGCCGTTGAAGCCACCGGGGCTGTCATTCAGCACGGCACTGGGAAAAACATGGATGACGTGCTCTCCCACCTGGCACAGAGACTGTTTGACGACTCACCGCAGGTTTAAAGTTTACAACAACTAATCAATGTTAGAAGTGCCTCTGTGTGACATTATGTGTACTGCTAAATAACTTATTTTTGCTCAATTCTGCTTTCTCTATGGTTCTCTCTTTGGTTCCAGGTAAGAAAAGCTGTGACAGTGGTTGTTGGTGATTGGCTACTTCACCTGAGAGACAGATACTCTTATTTCCACAAACTCATCCCACTCCTGCTGACCGGTATCGATGATGACATCCCAGAAATAAGGTAAAAGTGGACATTGTGATATTTTATTCTTTGCTTTATAATACAATGTGACACAATCTGTTAAATGCCATCTATTCTTCTGGTTTGTATACTTATATTTTGGGACAATATGTTTCCACATCCCCTCCTGCAGACTTCTGTCAGCTGATTTATGGAAGCAGGTAGGAGCCCAGTGGGAGAAAGAGAATGAGGACGAAATCAAGGATAAGATGGACTTTCTCCTCACCCCACCTCCCTTCTACCCACCGGGAGGTCAGTCACTGTCGGCATGATTGCAAAGAAAAGGCTTATTAATATATTGTGGGAGTTGCTGGCATCAATCATCTTCATTGTCCCATTTAATTTGCGTATAACTAGCTGATCGTAAGATGCATAGGTTTAAAGAGAATAACCTTTGGAGTCATAGTTTTTTTTTTTTTTGTTGCATGTTTAAAGTTTGAAGAAGAGTGGCTTTGCTCCTGGCAACATCTGCAGCTATGAAACACTCATACATCCCTGTAGTAGAGCCTAGTGAGTACAGGATTGGATGGTAGCATTGAGAGAGACTATTACTACTGCCCACCCAAAGCTCTTATTAGCATCCATTGTTACTATTTTTCAACAAAGCAGAGAGTAAGAAACCAAATGTTGAAACCCGGTGATAGAAGGACTTGACTGTCTAGACAGACCCGATGTTTTCCAAGTGAAATAAACTTTGCAAGGAAATCCTTGGGATCCAGGTAAAGCTCAGGCCATCGACTCAGACTTCTGTACATCCTTTAAGATTATCTTACTGGCTTATCTTATTAAAGGATTGATTTAGGTGAACTCTAAGGAATGGTGTCTGAAATCCAGTGTTACAGAGTAGAGCAATGTTTCCTGCTGGTGCATTGGCTTCACTGGTCTCAGCTATATACTATATTCCCGAAACACCAGCCAAATGCAAGAGTACATTGGGAATGTAAAAGTAATCTCTGCACATTTTGCTGCATTAAATCATCTCTCTTTATTACCGCTGTCCAAATTTATAACCTACAGTAAAAATAATGTTGCCCAGGACATCTTAGTTTTCACGGCAGGCACCGGTATCTGCCCCGGGGCCGGGAATAAGTGTCAAAGTGTGTGTGTGTGTGTGTGTGTGTGTGTGTGTGTGTGTGTGTGTGTGTGTGTGTGTGTGTGTGTGTGTGTGTGTGTGTCAGTCAGGGGTACAGTTTCTTTGGCTTTGCATCTTAGTTAAAGATCTAATATGTGTCCCACAGTTACACATGTGACAGTGTGGATGAGTACGGGCTCTGCCTGGGGATGGGGAAGGAAGAGGCTCTCTTTTCCTCTTTGTCTTTCTCTGTCTTGCCATCATAAATCTACCGGGCCTCCCAGTGTGAAGAGGTCACTGTCAGACAGTGAGAGACAACCAAAAAGGGGCTTGTTTTGTCTTGTCTTGGTGTGTTTATCTGATTTATATCGGTCTTCCTTTAGTCCTCTCTTCCTCTCTCATTAGTGAGCCTATGGGAGAAGGAGAATTAGGTGGGACAGAGAAAGAACGAGAGTTGTTGTATTTCAAATGTAGAGGGCTATTTGAGAATGTCTTTCACTTGCTCGGACAAGTCCCTTGTGGGGAAATCTTAATCGTAAAAAGTTATGGGTTCTTAGATCTTGTAATCTATATTGTAGTAAACTATCCGAACACTCATAAAAGACACATAGACCACACACTAACGATGTCATGGAGCCAGAAAAGATGTTGCAGTGAGCTGTCATGAAGAAGGTGCTAGCTTCTTGCTGGCTATATGTATATATGTCATTCAGAAACCTTTATTGAGAATCAACAACTTGCCCATCTCAGGGAGTTTGTTCAAAGTAAAATTCTTCACTAACTGAAGGAGATGTAGGCAGCCTGAGAGGAAATGACCTCTTCGAATACTGATCTCTAACATTAGGAGAGGGGAATATGAAAAGGTGAATGTTCTTCATTTTCTCCTCCAGTAGAGCGTCCAGGGCTGGGCTGCAGAGAGCTTGTGGTGAGAAACCTGGGTCGGCTGGTGCCGGCCATTACCCACGACATAACCGACTGGCTGGTGCCCACGCGGGTCAGGACCTCTCAACTGCTCTCTGTGCTGCTGCTTCACGCCGAGGACCACAGCACCCAGCATCTGCAGCCCCTCCTGGCCACCCTCTACACGGCCTGCAAGGACACAGAGAGGGACGTGGTCAGCAATGTGAGTCCCAGAGAGCTAGTCATCTGATCAGCAGACTGTTATACTTCACACTGTATTTCCCTTTTTTTGGATCAGGTGTGGCATTTCATAATGCTTATTGCTGATAATCGTTATTACCAGACGGAAGGATTTCAGGACACATCTGTTGAGCTTTAGACCGGGCCGAGCAGGGCTCAAGGACTTGGGATGCACCTGTTTACATCGGAGGATTCTGCAGATCTTTGATGTGTGGCGGATCAAAAAAGGACTTCCTGTGGTTCTCATCTTCCTTTACACTCCCTCATGTGTCTCTCTTCGCTCTCTTCCCCTCTCTCTCTATCTCCCTCTCTCTCTGTACCAACATCTAGTGCCTGGCAGCTGCTAAACTCTTGGGGACCTTTGTCCCTCCTGTCGTCTTCCTCAAGCTGCTTCTGGATCAAGTGACAGCCCCCTGCTCTTCCTCTCACCCCTGGGCCCCCCTCATGGTGCTGGCTGCGGTGCTGGGAGGCTGCTCCCAAACCCTCCTTAAACCACATCTCGAAAAGATTGCCAACACACTGTCCCAGCCCGACGTCTGCCAGGAATATCACCAGGTCAGCAGAGGGGTTGGTTGTGGGTGACCTGTTTTTTTACTTATTCACCTGAGAATGACTCCTCTTTGCTGTGAACTGCGTTGCATGTCTTGAGCATCAGCTGTTTTTCTTTTCCAGTCTTGTTAGGGGATCTTGGTGGTGTCATAGAAGGTCATCTTCTCCTCTCCCGGTGTACTTTAACACTCTTATTTTTGACAGTGAGTCATGCTGTATATTTCTTGCCCCATTTGTCCCTTATAGAAATAGGTTTCCTGATAAGATGCCACATCTCTTGAAAGGGCTTGAAAGTTTTCAATAGCACTACTGTACACTTTGAGTTCAGCGGGTCCACTGCTGAGTAATTTACTAAAATGCTAACCCTGCTAAAGTGACAGGCTGGCCACACATGGTGTTTATCTAATCTAATATTACATGTCTCTGATCAAAACGACTCTGCTCACACGCATCTGTGAAATGTGCTCCCACAACTTATTTTTTTTTTTTTTTACATGGCAGCAGTGATTAAAAATGTTTTTTTTAAATGTTTTTTTGTCTCTGCAACAGTCTGCCAGTGGAAAAATACCATCAGGTCCAGAGCAGACTCTTCCCCGCTTCCTTTTCTCTTGTGCTAAATATGTTTCCCTTTCAGAATCAAAACAACAGTTGTCTGGCAGAAGCTATTTTCTGATCCTGCCGCACTAGTGACTCACCTTTACCCATGACCCTACCCCCCCATCCCCTCCCTGTCAGGCCTGCAAGAATTTCCTCCCTGGGATAATGATAACAAAAATCTACTAATTTCACGTGACCCCCTGCAAAGCTGCTCTGACCCCAGTGCAGCTTTGCAGGCAGTGCATAGCCTTTGTTTTCTTTTATAGCCATGTGCAAGGTCTCCGCACCGACTGTGGTTCATCCAAATCATTAAAAGAATCTCTGAAATTTCAAAGCCCAGCCTGGTCAAGGCCGGTGATAAATGGCAGGGAAGTTGACCCCCTCGTTGCTATCCGGCGGGGTCAACCAGAGAGAAAACTAACAGGACGGGACGGTCACACGTTTTTACACAGATGGAGGGAGACCTCTGCTGCCCCTCTCTCTGATTCGCCATCTATCTCCCTCTGTCCTCCTGTCTGTCTCTGTTTTTTGACAGCAAAGCATGAAGCGTTGGGATTCAAGAGCTAACCCAGACAAAGCACCTGCAACATTCTTTGACAACAGGCAGGGTTCATCGCAGGGAGCAGTGCCAGATCACTGTGTAGCTGTAAATAACACCACTGGAGACAGGAGCACCTGCATCCCTCTCTCCCTCTTTCTCCCTGTGCTGAAAGGCTGACCCAGAATAGTGTGCACTCCCTTAAATAACAGTTGCTCAATCCAAATAGTTTGTTAGCCCTTAGATCCTTCATGATTTACCAGTATATGGTAACGGTTTAATTACCTGTATACACACAAACAATGAAAGTTTTACTTGGACAAAAATGAGGCCTGTTGGAAAAAAAAGAAATATAAATAATCTTCAAAGTGAACAGAGGCAGGGGGAACTTGCAGGGCTCCGTGGGGAGTTTGGGGAACAAGATGAAGATTTGAAACTGATCTACGATGCTTCTGTGCGACTTAACCTCGCCGGCTCTTTCAAGTCCCTGTTTTCTTTTCTTTATTTCAGAAGAAGAAAAAGACTGCTTATAAAAATACATGACAGATGCTCGGTGAAAAATAGAAGTACTGGTCATAAATTTCAGATGATGTCAAAGGGTTTGAGGGAAAATGAAAAGCGAGTCAGTGGTTAGAGAAGCCACCATGTTCTGAGGTACCCTCTGTAGTTAGATATATGATGGCATTTGCTTATGCAACATGCAGGGTTTTTTTTTTTTTTTTTAAAGGGTTTTCCACAGAGGATTAACAAATCCCCACCATCACACACACACAACTTACACAGCTGAGTGTCGCTGTGTTGTGGTTTGCCATGGTGACGAGGGCATCACATTATCTGCAGGGCTGGAGTAAATTGGTAAAGATCGAGCCAAGAGAGAGGAATAACGGCATAAAGAAGGGGCCTGACAGTGGATTAGAAGGCATGTTCACAACCAAGCTTGTTAACAGTAAATATGCTGTTTTGTTGTAGCTTTGTAAAAAAGTGCCTGACCTACAGTAGCCTATAGGAACAGGTCCGTAGGAGCGCAGGGAGAACAGTAGGCTATGTGTCTTTTCCCCTTGTCTGTACACAGAGAAACTTCTGCACTGGTGTCACAAACGACCAGTTTTCTGCTGAAAACATGCATGCTGCCATACATCAGCGTGTCTCCTGCATGCCTGCCCTTTGTCACGAATGACAGCTGCATACTGCCCCCTTCTCCACGGAATGACAGACGAGGAGAAGAAAGGCAGCATAGCAAACTTTACCTGACTACAAGGGGTCGACATCCCATGCACCGCCAGTGTTTGTTTTCCTGTTGCTGTAGCAACATCAATAGCTGTGGGGGGGTGGGGGGCTCCCCACTGGATAGGAATCCTTCTTCTGGTATGGCTCCTTAAAGTGGAGTCAAGTGTATGTGTGTAGTTAATGTATCCAGTGGTGGACAGATGCGCGCACACACTGCGTAACGAGGCCCCTGGAGCGTGCCGAGGCCAATGAAACCAGGTGTATCGCGCCTGGCTCCAGGTGTCCACCTTATCATTACGCCGCACCACTTTTTCCGCTCTCCCTCTTTCTCTCTCTCTCTCTCACTCTCTCTCTCTCTCTCAGCCAGTCAGCCCTAATGGTTGTTTTCTGCACATGTATAATATAGGTGTCCGTGTATGTGAACACTAATGTGTGTGTGTGTGTGTGTCTGCCACTGTTTCCACGTTATTTCCACTACTGCCTCCCTGGAACTCCTCATGTGTTTATGTGCCAGTGAATTGCTTGACCCATAGGCAGGGATTTCCCCCATCAATGACTGCGTGAACACATTCAAACAGGAGTGCACAGTGCACTCAAGTCGCTGCTGCAAGTCAAGGTTGTTCAGGGCTACATGGAAGTTTAGTTTAGCCTCAGGAAAATGTGTTTGCGCACATAACTGACACCCTGGACTTAAGATAGGCATAACAAGCTTTTTCCAATGTGTGCTCAAACACACTATTGCAAAATGAAAACATTTGCACATTTACCTTTGCAGACTGGAAGTCCCTGAGCCCTCTTTCAGCACTCAAAAGTCCTGCCTTTTTTTAACGCGCTGACCATCTTTACTTGGCTCAACACTTGTTTTCCTTCCACATTAATGCCAAGCTGTGCCGTACAATAGCTACTCAAATTTGTGAAAAGATAGTGTGCCCCCTGGTGATCGAGCTGTGGTATTTGTCGGGGTGTGTGTATTGAGCGATGGAGCATATGTGGAGGTTGCATTGGGTATTTCTTCCTCACACACACTTCAGTCCCCCTCACCACCGTACTCCTCATCACCAGACCAAGGTAAACACCTGGAGGGCGCTTAACCGGCTCTCAACTCTCCATATACAAAAAACACACACACACTCGCGCTCTCTCTCTCTCTCACTCGCACACACTTACCTTACCTTCCATATCCCCCTCAAACCACCCTCCCCTCTCATCCAGCCCTAATGACAGGCTGTGAGAAAACAGGAAAAGAGGCCATGATCCCAGTGATGGCATAGAAATTAGCCTGAGCCGCAGGTCTTTGTCTAAACATGAGCTCAGCACAACACTGGCTGACAAGTGACAGCAATCTCTCACACACACACACACACACGTCTGGAGATGGAAAGTTCTCACTCTGTGAAAAAGGAGATCGTGAGGATTGAAGTGCGTTGGGGTTCATTGATAGACGGGCTGAACATTCAAGGCAAATACTTCTCACATCTGTTAAAAGCCAGACAAGACAATCTTATAACGTATCTCCCTATTTTCCAGGTCGTGTACTTGGAGCAGTTGTTGGCCTGCGTGGATGTGCTGCTGCGTCTGTGTGAGTCGGACCACCGCTCAGTCAGCCTGCAGCTGCTGCAGGTGTTGGTCACTGTCCAGAGTCTCTCCACTGAGCCACATCTCAGCGAGAAGGTGAGAAAACAGTTGGCAGATGTAATCCCAGATACTTCTTCTCTGCAGCTCGAACATCACTTTGTTCCACATATCCAACATATCACCTCACCCGAGTAATTCTTTAATTCTACTTTGAAATGGCACCTTTTTTTACCCCTTAAATTTATGTTTTCTATCCTTTTTTTTATTAGAAAGGTAAGTAGGTTTTATGAAGCAGGAGAGCTATTTGAGGAATGTCAGCATTTGTATGAGTTCAAAGTGGGCATGGCCAACTGTATGATTACCCACTTAGTCAGGGGAGCTGAAATTGCACCTTTGGAGAGCAACTTTAAATCCAGTGCTGGGTGAAAGGAGGCGGGTGAAAGGTGGAGAAAAAGACAGAAATAGATGAGAAAAACAGATGGAGAGAAGTGTGGAGGGAGAGGTGAGTTGTGTTTCTTAGCAGGTGTGTGTCATCGGCCCTGTCCCCATTTGTGGCTCCATAACGCCTCCTCAGGCCACAGCAGCCACGCAATATAAAAGTAACAAGCTTGCACGTTGTGGTCAGCCTCTAAATGCAAAGGGACAAACAGGAACAGTGACAAGTGAAGCCAACGGTATCCGAGGCCAGCGCATCGCATAGCGGCTAGTCGCCGAAGGAGGCTAATGACAGGGAGCGGAGAGCGGGAAGGGATTGGCAGCGATGCTTACCAGACACCACACGGGCCACCAGTGTGAGTGTGTGTTTATGTCCGTCTGCATCAGTGTGTATGTTCGGACAGGGAGCAATGTTGGAGAAGAGATGAGAAGGAATGGATTAAGAAAAAGAGAGGGAGGGTGAGAATGGCCTTGGGCATTCCCGGACCCAGAGAAAAAGCGGAACTTGTTTTCCCAGAAAAGGGGCACGTCTTTCCCATCAGTGGACAGCTCAGGGTTGTCTAGCTCTCTTCGGAAGGGGCCGATCCGTGACTCAGACATTGTCTCTGTCCCTGTCGATCCCTGAGGGACTATGAAGGGGACTATGAAGTCCCCTAAAGGTCAGTTCCCCTGACCTGAAGTTAGCTAATTATTTACGTGTGTGTGTGTGTGTGTGTGTGTGTGTGTGTGTGTTTCTGTCGGTTCCTGTGCCTTTGTGACATCCTGTGTATCTGTCTGGGTTTTTGTTTTAAAGTGGTTTTATGTGTGAGACCTTGTCGTGTCTGCAGTGTTGTTCTTCCCATGGTTTCACATGATAGTGTTGCGCCTCTCGTGTGAGCGTGACCCGAAGAATTCCTGAAATTACAAAAAAAAGCAGCTGTAATTGTTGAACTTGAACACAATACCCACTGCTCCGTTATCACTTTTTCCTCATCAACTCTTCATTTCACCTTTCTCCCACCCAATCTTCTCTGTCTCTTTTGTCATATGATTTTATGTAAAGAATACAAGTTAAACAATGTGTTGACATAATTTTGCTCCACCTATCATTCTCTCCTGCAGGCCTTGGAGAGTGTACAGCTCTTGAGTAAGGTGCAGGGCCTGGACTCGGCGATGGAGCTTTATAGACAACATATGGGCCAGCTGTTGGATTGGCTATCTGGCTCTGTCAACACCTGGTCCAGTTACTCCCCACAGAGACTTCAACTGCATATCACAGTCATACAAGCAGGTGAGAAGTGAAGCCTGAAGACATTACCAAATTATACAGCAGGTGCTGAAATTTGCACATATAAAGACACAATGATGGTCAAACATATGTAGTACGGTTCTGAGAATTTGGTCTGTCAAATTACTTGTTAATGATGGGAAAATCACTATGTCAGTCATCAGTCTTTACATGCTCTTTGAGTCCATCTCAACACTTTGACGAGGCTATATAATCCAGATCATGTTTTATTAATCATTACTGCGTCGTGTAGTTTGTGAAGCCATTCTTTCCTTAACTTGTTCAGACGCGTGTTACATCGTATTTTAAGCGTCAAGCTGTTTTCCTGTTCGTACATGATCCATCATCGAGGCAGCACATCAAAACCAGCAGCTGTCAAAGCAGCAGCAGCAGCACAGATTCTCTCTTGTACAAAGGATCCAGATAGTTTCTTGAAATTGTTTGTGATCTAGTACCTGCTGCACTCATAGCAGAAGCAAAAAGCCTCAACCATATTTTCCTATAGTCGCACACTGCTCCTGAGAGGTACGTACATGGGCAGTTAAGTTAGACATGTATGTGTCGATGGTGGTCGGAGCAATTGTCAGCACCACTTGATGGATTTGAGGGCTGTTAAATGACTCAGTATTAAAGGTCCATCCATCCATTGGAGCGTCAAGCAATAAATTACAGGTTTTAGTATGATTTATTGCTTGGCGCCCCAATGGATGCGTGCTGTTCCATTGTTGTTTTACAAAATGTTTCCCATCAATGGCCATCACTCAAAGACACAGTGGAAGACATTTTTTTCTGTTACCCAAGCAAAGAGGCTCACGGTCAAACAAAAAAAAAAACAGGGTTGTTGATGCACAGATAAAAAAAAAAAAGACTGTCACTAGCGCCAGTTGGCTTTCTGACTTTTGTAAATTCCTGTTGCTCCCTCTTGTCAGATGTTGTGTCTCAGACTTGTCTGGAGGGGTTAGTCTGTCTCTGTGTCTGTCTCTGTGTCAGTCTGTCTGTGCAGTGGGTTAAAAAGCTGTGACCCTGTCTTTGGTGCTGAGACTTCACATTACCTCCCTCTTTACCATATAATCCTCCATCATCAGCACCTCCATGTAGCACACTTTCATCTCCATCTCTTTCTACCTCCTTCCTCTCTCTTTCTAATTGACTGGGCAGCCGGGTACCCCTCTAATCCCTCCCACACACACACACACACACACACAGAGTCTCACACACAGTCCCACGGCTAACTGACCAGTCCATTCTAAGTCCACTCAGTGATCCCCGTGCAGGTCACTACATCAAACAGCACCACAGACGCCTGCTCTTGACCTTAGCCTGGATCAAGGCTACTTTGAAGCTCTTTGTGTGTGTGTGTCTGTGTTTTATCTGAGCCTGTTGAATGCTGCTCTCAGTTTCCCTTGGTTTCATTTCTACTGATCTTTGGTCTGTTAACATGACCCAAGGACTTCATTACGGCCAGCCCGACAGACAGCGTGTGGCTGCTTTGTTTGATGTGCACATATTTCGGGGAAATCGGCCCTCCGCTGAACAATTGACGGTAGTTAATTTGACAACTGAGAATTGGTCATTTTGCTTGCTCATCAGCTTCTCGCGCACTCCATCTGTGTGCGTGGAGACAGGAATAATTATTGCCCTCTCATATCCTCCTCATAATCTTTTGTCCTTCAGATGGTGTGAGAATGTCTGGTCCATTGTGTGTAAACTGGAGCAATCTCCCTCTATCTCCTTCTCTTTGCTTGGGTTTTAGTGCCTTGCCCAAGGACAGGATACATGTTGACAGTCTCTCTTAGCATACTGAGGTGTGTTTGTCTGCGTGTGTCTCTATTAGTGTAGTGAAATGTCCTATTGCTGCCTTGTCATATCCGTAGATGGCGTGTGGCAACCTCTCCTCTAACACCTCTCGTTAAATGACACGCGCTTTGATTCACATCAGATAAAATGGGTCGGTCGCTCTGTTTTCCCATATCTCTTCCTAACATTGGTTGCCACCCTCAGGCAGTCTCAGGATTTCCTCTGTCTCCTCTCATGTCTGAACAATTCAGAGTCCAAACGAGGCATGGACACTGTTATCACTCATTACACGCAGATTACTATATATAGCTCTGTAAATATGCAGTCAGACGGTTGGTGGGTGTGTGGGGATGAGTATAACTTGGAATATTTGCACTGTGAGTTTCTTATTTTTCCTGTAAGAGAGCGTTTGTACTAGAAGCGTACACAAAGACCCTTTTATGTCTCAGTTCCGTAAAGCGCTGTGTCACTGGTTCGCCAGTCCATTGAGGTCTCAATGACAAGCCCTCTGGTCTGTACTAAACACAACAAGTCTCAAGTCTTTGTGGGCCTTTTCCTGTTTACCATTTGACAGTTGGCCTGGAGTCTGGACAAAGAATAAAAATGTGTGAATGAAAGTGCCTTCGCTCCGAAAAAGGGAACACTCAAGTTTTTAACAATAAGTTTAGTATTTAGTGGTTGGACTGAAAATGAGTGTTTACAATCCTGCTTAAATTCAGGCTGGTGACCTTTGTTGCATGTTGTTCTCCCCATACTTTCTATCTATATATCCAAAAAAAGCTCTTGCAATAACAGCAATTCAAAACCCATTGTGTGTGTGTGTGTGTGTGTGTGTGTGTGTGTGTGTGTGTGTGTGTGAGATAGGTCCAGTGATTGGAGAGTTTGTGAGCCAGTTGATGCCCCTGCTGTCCAGCTGCCTTCAACCGGACAGAGACCCAGAGTTGAGGATGAGCATCTTCACAATGCTTGCTAAGTTGCTACTGGATTCAACCAACACACTGGATTCCCAGGGGTGAGAGGGGCACATGCACACAATCTATGCAAAGTATAACGTCTCAATACACACACGCACACACACAGAGTGAAACAAAGACACCCAGAACAGCTATATTGCAGGTGAATTTTTCAGCCATTTCATCTGTGCATGATGTCACATTGGACTTTAGCTGTTTGTGTTCATCTAGTCTGAGTTTTCCAAGTCATCGTTATTAGCTCAGCTCATATTTTTAGAATAAACCTCACATGAACCTGCAAATTAGTACCGCACCCACTAGGGATCATAATAAGAAACATACAAAAAAAACAGTGTAACCTCATCAGCTGCTTTAGGACTTAGTAGATGATGATGATGATGATTGGGGTGTATATCAGGCGTGATACAGTTCATTATACAAAAAAAATGATGAACCTCATTACAAATACCACATAGACTGTAAGGAGTCCCATTTGTGTAAACATGGTTTCTTTGGGAGTATCGGTTAGACTATCTAATATTAGTTAATCACTCCCGAGCATGCCTAAAGAACACAATCGCTCCTCTGTGATTCAGTAACACCGTTGAGTGTTTGACTAATGAGAGAAGAACGATAGGAGGGATGTCTGGCACCCAGAGAGAAGCTTTGGTTTGTGGGGTTTTTCCTCTGTGCTTCCACTCTCACCCTCCAGGGTTCCCTCCGAGCCCTCAGCTGTCCAGCCTTCAGGCCGGGCTCAAAGCTCTAATCTGAGGGAATGCATTAAACCTGAGGCCCTCACCGGGTCCCAGCGAGCATAGCAGCTGCTGCTGTCGATCACAAAGACAAACCTCGTCCACGGGGATCGCTTTTGGCATGAGCCTGGCAGCAGTGTAAGGAACATAAGACAAAATAATATCCTTGTCAGTGAAAAATGTGTACAAACAACAGGAAGTGTTCTTAAGCCAAAACATTCTGCCACCTTTGCCAAAAACGTTGAAATAGGACCTTTTGCTTTCAGCCCTCATCATATTATTTTATCCATAAAGTGAGTTTTAGACAAAAGGAGCCTCTGTCTCTTCGCCACTCCCAGCGGGGCCACCTGTGCTGCTAACTGCCTCCTCATGTATCTCCGGTGATCACAGGACCATCAGGAGACAGAAATCATGTTACACCTTCAAAAGCTTTCAAACAAATGCTTAACTTACTGTATATGGGGCTGTGCGGTGCAGTCTGCCATAATATTTCCATTCATACTCATTTTATCCATCCATCCATTCATAATTTATGCCCTGAGCTTGCTCAGCAGATTGTAGCCCACACACACACACACACACACACACACACACGCTATATGTCATCAAGAGGGCAATGATAGTCATACAGAAAACTCTTCTCTTTGTTCTGCAACCAAAATGACATAATGACAGCTCCACTAAAGAGCAAGCAGAAAGGGAAAGTAAGCGTCTACACATACGTTCATAAGTTCCTTTCATCCCCACACACACACACACACACACACATAATGTCTTTGTTTCATGTGGATTTGTGTGCTGTGACTACAAAGCTGAATGTGAAATTTAAGTAGAAGGTGATGTGTGAGAAATTAAAGTTCACCCTCTTTCCCCTGAATGTGGCAGGCACAAATCATCTGCCCCCTACAAGGGAGACAAGAGTGTGTGCTTTAATGCACGCGTGAACTGCAAAAGTCTTAATGTCAGCTTTCAAGACATAAAACAAGAAAGAAATGCTATTGGGGTGAGATATTCCTCTTATGTCTCATGTGGTTTCCCTTAAAATGTATATAAGATGACATAATTATATATATGTAACATGAGTTCACCTCAACATAATGGGAGAGATTTCAAGACTTGAGAAAGCAATGGACAATGTACTTTTGTAACATTATCACAATAATATGTTGGATATTTTCCACAATCTCTATATATAGGACGAAGTGGTAAATGTATGCATAATCATCCATAAAGAAATCAGAGGATGTTCTGCAATATATGGAACCAAATTCTTCATCCATGTCAAACACTTAAATGGGGAATTTAGTTTAAATCAAAGACAACAAAGACATTTGTAGACATAATGCATAAAATGACTTCCGATGAAATCTAATAATCGATATAATTGAATCACTGCCCAGTCCTACTTGATGACAAACTCATTGACTTGTTAAGCTGTGAGGGAGGTTGTTGTGTGCTCTGCAGTTGCTTTGTGACCAACACAGAAGTGCAGATAGCTCCAATGTGTAGAGACCCATGAGGTGTACGGATGAAATTTCCTGGAAATGTGTATGCATGTGCGTGTGCACAGACATACAAGATAAAGGTAAAGACTATTTGGAAAAATCTCTCTCCATCTCCTGGCGTCATTCATGATGAGCTTCTAACACCTGCTCAAGATGAAGAGACTGAACAAGTGCATTAGTACACAGTCCTGGCTGTATTAGTGGCACACAGTCTCCCCCTACTGGCACTGAACCGTTACAGCACATTAATGTCGTGACAAAGTTGTGACACCAGCTGAACAGTCCGAGGCTAGAGGTATCTACCAGAGCCGGTTTGGAGCGAAAGGGCAGTGCAGATTGTGGTAGTGTGTGACAGGATGTCAGAGGGCCTATGCCAGCGTGGAAAAGAGAGGGAGAAGGGAAAGGAGGACACCCAGTTGTTGCACTCCTCACCTCGTGCTTCTCCTCCACTATTCCCCCCCCCTTCTGTCTTACATCAAGTGTAGGAAAGTGACTGCAGTATAGCCATCCCCCCCTTGGCAGCGTGGGTTCATTTGGAGTTCCCCAGCTTCCTCCCACAGTCCAAAGACATGCAGCTTTGGTTAATTGATGACTCTAAATTGCCCGTAGGTGTGGATGTGAGCGTGAATGGTTGTCTCCAGCCCCCCAGCGACCCTGAACAGGATGATCGGTTACAGATAATGGATGGATGCATTACCAGGCGCCATCCTAATTCACTTCTCAAAATTGGCAGTATTGCTGGCTGGTTGTTAAAATTATATAAACGCCATCGGCCTCCTACATGAAGCAACAGAGATGTCTTTCTCTGCTCCTGTTTCTGTCTCAATATTTTTACTCCCCGCCTCCTTCCAGGCATTTCCGTGATGAGTCGGAGAAGTTCCTGTGTGACGTCTTGCTTCCTAACCTGGTGTGGCGGGCAGGTCATATTGCTGCTGCCGTCCGCACCTCAGCCCTCAGCTGTCTGCTGGCCCTGCTGCATGGAGGGGCCATCACACCAGGACAGGTACATACACACACACACATAAAAGCTGCAGGGGCCCTGCACATATGACACCCCAGGGGTTACATCTATTTCCACCTGTGCAGAAGGACTGATGAGCATTGGATGTGAGCACAGGATATCAAAGGTCTCCAGTAGTACGTACTCCTGATCCAATCTGCAGAAACACTTTTTATTGACTCGGCTGTAAAGGAAAAGATGTGTTACTGCGTTCTTTTAATCCACTAGGAGTTGACATTTACTTTTCTGTTTTGTCCATTTCACAACAAAATAGACACTCCCACTTGGTCATTTACGAAAATATATCAGCCATCTTGCTCCGCTTGGCTGAAAGAGTTGGCCGCGGCAGGTAGCAGGTGTACGTGGGGGCAAACGGGTTCGCATACCTTTGTCCCGAAGGAACAGTCCTTCCCCTGTTCTGGGCCCTTGTTGTACGGAGGAACTATCACCGGGACAAGCCCTTGCACCTGCCTGTCCGAGCATGTGCCCAGTTGCAGTATTTGTGCTCACACACACACGCTCATATGGCTGTGTTTGCCCTTGCTTCTGTAGAGTGACCAGTTTAAACCGGCTCACACACTTATTCTATTCACACGTCTTTAACTACAAGGCAAAGCAAACAGCTGGGGGGGACAATGTGAGCGTGGGTGTAGGTGTGTGATCCAACTTTTAATATCTAATGGCACCCAAACGTCCTCACAAGAATACAAAATCTGGAAAAGTGGTGGCTAAACAGGGCAGTGTTGCCTTCCAAGTTTAGGTTCAAAATGAGGTTACAGTATAGCTGAAATATACAACATGTCCTTATAACAACAGAAGGTTATGTGTTGTTTCCATGGGCACATCAAACAGCATTTCATTTTGAAGGACACCGTTTCCTCACTACTCCCTGTGAAAACAATTAGCAGCTCTAGTTACACTCGGCACCCTCAGATTGTCACTGGTGTAATGCCGGATCTGTTCTCTGCCAAATTTTCCTGCCTCTTTCTGTCTCATTCCATCGCTCCTGTTTTTACTGTTTCGCCCGCACGGTTTCGATAGCAAACAGACGGCGTTACAGAGGTTTTAGCCATTAGCTCTATGGCCTGTGATTCTGTGTGCTCAGCCTCACCTTGTTTGTCCATTTCCTCTGTTTCTCATCTGTTGGTGTGATGAAAACATCGGTCTACGCTGTACTTCTGAAGCTGGGCTCCATGCCCCGTCTGTATAAACTAATCCAGGCCTGATGTGAATCTGTCATGCTTCAGGTGATATTTCACTTTGGTACAAAAAAACTGCATAAATCAATGTAAATAATTGAAGAAAAGTCTGGAAATTGAAAAGAAGAAAAGAGTTTTGCTCGGTACGTGTCGCCACTTTCACTAATCGGTCTTGTTTTTTCTAGTTCTCAAAAAAATGTACTACTATTTAATTTACAGCCCTTAGTTATCATCATAAGGGTTGTAAATGAAATGGAAGTACATTTTAGAAAGGGGGGGAATTAAAATGAGTGGTCCTGATTATGCAGCCTCAAAGCAGTCACTCTAGTCAGTTTAAATGTATTTATTTTTTGCATTTTTCACTATTATGGAAATCTACATGAAAGAAATAGTACTTTTTTTACACAAAACCACCGTTTTGTAAACTGCTTTAATCTCCTTTTAGTGAGTTTGAATTGTACTACACGTATGGGCGGATATTGAACTTGTTATTCGACATTTAATAGATTTGAATGCTGGTCTCTGCCTTTTCTGTGTGCAGCTGCTGTGTCTGGAGGAGAAGCTGAGTCCCCGGTTGTTGTCAGCCCTGGAAGAAGACTCTAAGATGGGCCGACTGTTTGCTTGTCGCTCCCTGTCAGCCATACTCCGACTCATAGGAACCAGTCTACACCCAGAGGCCCTCAACAAGATCTATCCCAGTAGGTGTTGAACGTACACACAGAAATGAATGCACTACATTTTGTCACACTGCCAGCCGAAATGTACACTTTATTTAATTCTGTAAAATCACATGTCACAATTATTGCATGGGGACACATTTTACTTCATTTATAATGTCTGTTCACATTTAAAATAACTGTGGATGACAGAAATGTGACATTTGAAAATTCATCCTCAATTTGGCATTGATTATAATGAAGATAAAGACTAAACCCACGCAACAGTGAAATAGTTTGGAATGATTTGTTTCTGTGTGCGTCTGTCTGCCCCCCACAGTGCTGCTGAAGCGTCTGGACGACAGCAGCGAGGAGGTGCGCGGCGTTGCCCTGCAGGCCCTCGGGCTGTGGCTGTCCAGCCTAACCAAAGACTACAACCCTGAGCTCTGTGCTGCTCATCTGCAGCTCCTCTTCCAGCAGCTCCTCCTGCACCTGGATGACCCCGACGGCTCAGTCCAGGACAAAGTGCTTGGTAAGATTAGAAAGGGGTGTTTTGAACCTGCAAACCCTCAGAGTTGAGGATGGGAGTGTTGATCGGTAGTTAAAGGTAAGGGCCTAACAGGAGGATATGCACATGGCCCTATAATGCTGTGTGTAAACATGGATAAGTAGTCTGGATCTTAGAAAAGACTTGCTCTGTGTGGAATGCACCGAAGCCTTTCCTTGAACTCTTTATGATTCCTGACTATTAATCAGAATCATAACTCTTGTCAAAAACGGCAAACCTTTTTCTAGTTGGCCTTTTAATGCGTTGTTGACCGTCCTTGATGCTAGTGCCGATAAGAACGAGGAGGGATTGTGAAGATAACGTTATGTGCATACAGTATGCTGCATATGGCTTAAAATAACACATTCAGCTGATACAGATAGTAAAGCTGGTGGCGATGGAAGCGGAGTTTTGCCGTGATGATCTGCAGACCGGCCTGCTGTGTTCCAGACACTCACAGAAGGATGAGAGGGAATAGGGGTATCCTCTATCAAACACTAGATTATTGCCTGGCTTGCTGCCAGAAGATTCCACCTATACTTTTTTTTTATCCTTCTTTTCCACATAATTTATCACCAAACGCAGCTCAAGCAATTCCTCCTGCCAAAGCAAGCCCCCGAGGGGCTGAATGGGAGGTGGCCCTCGAGTGGAACACAAGATCCAGATATGGATAAGCACCCACATGAGAGAGACACTTCACAGGTCAATATGTGAGCCCTAATATCTGATTAACTTCCCTGCCAGTGAAGTCTCATAGATCTCTCATCTTCATCATACTGCTTCACATAAGAAGAAATGAGGCAAAGGCACTCACACACAGATGCAGCAGTAGTTCTCATACCATGAATTCTAGCGCTGCAAGACAGCTTTTGAAAGCCTTCCAAGGACAATAAAGATTTGTTGATGTCATTGGTTATCAAAGTGTCTGTAACCTTGACTGCAGAAGGCAGAATAACACATGTAAATCAACTCATGAACCGGCCCACATACTGTACATCTGTGTTTCTTGTAGTTGAGGGATTTACTTTTAAAAAACGATGCTGTAATTCTGTAAGTTCCAGTTTAAACATGAAAGGGACCATTTTTTTTTAGATTTTCTCTGTTGTCTCAACTCATGCTGGATATGATTTATGTTCAACTCATGATCTGGTAATAAGTTACTCACCAAACGCTGATACTAGGCAAAAGATAAGTCTGTTTGTATTTCAGAACCAAAACCATTATTGAATTGATCCTGATAACAAGTATTGTCTGTTAGCGTGCTGTCAATGATTGATCTCATTCCTCTGTGCCACACTATTGCACTGGGTGACATGTTCCTTTATTATGATGAACATGAGCTCTGTAGTTTGTTCATTTGATCCCACATACACTGTCCTGCTGCTGTAAATACTCACAGAGCACTAAACTCAAATGTCAAACAAAAACATGCATTTAATCCTGTTTGAGTAACATTTGCTAAAAACTACAGTTGTTTTAAGAGATTATATCCCCTTTTCTTTCTTTTTTTTTTTTAATAACAATATAAACAGTATGTGTGCGACTCATTTATTTAAAAAAAAAAAAAAAAGTCCTTTTCAGTGGGAACAAATTGATTTGGGTTTGAGATTCAAAGATCGGCAAGGGAAGTCCGAAAGTGTTGAGACGCATGGTGTTTTTTTGTTTTTTTTTTGTCTTTTCATGGGATTTGTTCACAGTGATAAAAATATAGAATATTGTGTTATTCAGTAAACATAATTAGCTGACCAGACGAACCTAAGTTATTTGTTGAGTTAAACAGTTCTCATGTCTGAAGATGTTGGTAGTGCATCACTAATGAAAGAAGTGCAGCCTCAGAGAGTGTTTCAGGATATCTGAACCAAACGGTGTAAAGATACAAATATGAGCCATTGTGTGTTCTTCAACCTGTGATCCCCATGAAGTGCAGTAGATTCCTAGCCAGCTCGGAAAGGAGATGACCTCAAATCTTGCCGAGTGATCGTCTGTATCTGACAGCACCCGTAACCGCCTGCGCCGCAAATGTGGAGGCATTCCTCCCTCTCATGCACGGCTATGTTTGAAGCTTTCTTTTCTTTCCCCTTCCTCCTCTCGCTCTTTCTTCCTCTCTATCTTTCTTTGTTCCTTTTAATAGTTGATCCCATTCTTATGCTTCTTGAATTTCAAACGCATATCTGTGAAGTGGCTAGATTTGTGCAGCATGTCCTGACAGCATGATGGACACCCCCCCTCCCCTTGTCTCCCTCTCATCCCTCCTTCTTTCACTCATCTAGTCCTCCACCCTAATAATCCCGACGTCCTGGCAGCAAGGCTGCTACCTGCTCAATCACGCAGACTGTTGGCACGGGTGTAACGCTCACTTCTCAAAAGTCATCATTGTTCTCCTTGTATTCAAAGTCCCACCACCCCCACCTCCATCCTATCTTACAGTACAGTACCTGAGTACAGTATACAGAAAAGCTAAAAAAAATCCCCTTCATCTCCTTGAAGAAACAAAGGCGGGTATCGGATGATGAGTTTACATGAGCTAACTCATCCAGAGTGATGGCGTGTCGCCGCTGGAACAGCACTTTTGCATTGTGGTTTCCGAAGCATTTACCCATTGACAGCAATTCCAAGTAATTCAATATACCTCTGAAAACCAGCAGACGGTGTGGGAACAGTAAGAGGGACAGATTTGACCAGATGATCATTGCCTCCCAGCGGAAGAAAGGGGCACCTGCACATATAAGGTGTGAGTTGCGGGGTTCGCGTATTGTAGTTCATCACTGCCATCTGCTGGCGTCATAACTGCTTTTTGACTTTGTTACAGAAAACATAAAATCCAGAGATTATTTATCTGCCTGCACCATGTTAGAAACTAAAAACTTCATTTTTGCTGAGTATTTGAATTTTAGAGAAACTCTTCTCCCCTCTAGGTACATGTTTTATGTAGAAAAATTTACCTGATTCATTGTCAAAAGCAACATGGAAGAATAATTTAAACAAAGGCATCAGAGCAGGTGTGATCAGACCATCAACTCATTTGAACTGATGGTCACAAGCTTCCATACTTGGACTGGGAGACCCCTGAAGAATTCGGCTCAAAGGAATAGTTTGGCCAATGAGGTTGTTGAGATGAGGAAATCAATACTTTTTGTGTGCTTTTAATGTCAAAACTTTGGTTACTGCAGTTTTTATGGAGGATATTTCTGCAGATCTTTGAGTATTTCTGCTGTGTCCTCTTTCATCTCATATCCTGAGTGCCGACTCCTCTCCTGAGTCTTTGTTTTGTTTTTTATCTGTTTGTGTGTGTCCAGAGATTCTGAAGAAAGGCAGCTCGGTCCACCCGGCACTTCTGAGAAGGGAGGCGGAGGCAGTGAGAGACCAACAGCGGAGTCGTCTTTACTGCGACCAGCTGCTGCAGCACATCAGCTCACTGCCCACAGAGGCCACAGCAGAGTGTCCTGAGTGACATGAAGTTTGTGCCTTAATTCAAAGAGCTCTCTCACTTTTAACTGTACAACATTGATGAACAACCTCTAACAACATGATGGTAATAATACGGTGGAGTATTTTTCACTTTAGGACTCGTTCCCCTTAAAATGAAAATGCTTGCCTTGAATGAATTAGCTCTCGTGTGGGTGAGTAGATGACTTGTTTTTTTTATTTATAGTTGAACTTTTCAATATCCCTTTTAATACAGAATATGTCCTTGACCATTTGTTCAAGAACTGTTTTTCTGCGTTCATTCCTGTGACTGTAATCCTTTGGTTCTGATGTTTGGCTTTAATGAAAACAAACCGATGTTTGATGCACTGTGGTTGTGTTTTAAATGTGATACACTCATAAGATCTCTAGGTGAATTCCTGTACCCAAAACTCTCACCATCCCTGCCTGCAGATGGTGCTGAGTCTAAGAGAAGCTGGGGTCATGTGTTTGTTTGTTCTTCTTTTTTATAAAACAATACTTCAATATTGAGATGTACAAGTGCAAATTACATTCAAATAAATCTGAATCTTTTCAATATTGTATGACACCATCATTAAATAATGTATATAAAAGTAATACTCATGGAGGGTTTCTATACAAATTGTGAAAATCAAAATAGCACTTTACACATTTATCCGAAAGTCACTTCACCTCTATAAACTGTATTTAAACACCTGACAATGGACTAATTGTCATATATGTATTTATATACTTTATATATATATATATATATATATATATTTATTTTTTTCAAACTTGACATTGACGGTTACGTTACCTCTCCATCCTCTCATCTATTCACGAAATGAGCTGCTGATTTTCAGTCCTCTTTAATGTGCGTTTAATCTGCTCTCCGCTATGTAGTCACCTGCGTGCTGACAACAGAGCTTCATCCATGGCATCTTTCTGAACAACAACGACTCTTTCCGCTCCGATCGTGACATAAATATTGCGTCCGGGCCCGTTTCAAGATGCTGCAGATCGGAGATGAGGTGGTGTATTTCTCGGCGGTGTTTCTGCTGGTGGTGTTGGGGACGCGGAGCGCCACCGGAGCCTCTCTGCTCACCGCGTTCCTCTACGTTTTCATGGTGATGTTCCGCTTTCCTCCGGTGCCAGCGGACCAGGCCGGCCGCGTCCTCCGGCCCAGGGCTCCGTCGGGCGGCGTCCCGGTGGTGGCGCTCCGCGGAGGCAGCTACGACGCTCCGGAGAACACCGTGGCAGCGATCAGAGAGGTGGCATGCAGGCATCAGTCTTCTGTTTAAATGCAAATATATAGCTGTGACTGTGTGCCCTACTATATAACTTAAGTATATAGCCTGTAGAAATGTAGGCTACATATTCAACACCCAAATACTTTTCCATATTTAGTTTATGTTGGAATCTAGAGCACTGCAGGTGCAAAGGAATATTAAGCCAATGACGTATTTTGTGCAATAATAATTGTATTGATGGCTTAAACTGTTTATGCTTTGCATGTCGTGACTTCCCATTGTGCAGTGTAAGCTGAGCGCCACATCTGCAATTCTGAATGGACAGGGAGACTAGAGCTGGTTAGCTTGTTTTCCATCCGATCGGTGGCTCATTATGCTCTGATGAATTGATTCCATCTTCGTGATGAAGTCTACACACTTATAAACCATTTCTCCACCCTCTGTTTCTGTTTTTTTCACATACTGAAGGTGCTGAGTCGGCTGTGCTTGTGGCGTAACTGTCCTACATGCAGTTAGCATCCTAAGCTCTATACTCTTCCTAATGCCTCTCACCTGTCCAGTTTCTTCACCTCTGGATGAGTTTCTTTTGTTCTACGAAGCCTCTTCTCACACATTTTAAACCATCAGCCTATTTAACCTTCCCTTGGCAGCTATTGAAATTGGAGGATAAGATGACGTAATCAATTGTGCTCTAGATTTTGTGAAGGGCACAGTACTGAAACCAGTGTTTTGGAGTTGATAATGATGGAGAGCTCCAGTTTGCTGCTACTGAACCTTGTCTGTATTACTGAACATGGGCAGGTACCTTTGGTTTGCACCATTTGTGGGCATTCTGGTGACAATTATGTGCATCCTTTTGACGTGCAAAAAAACCTAAAACTGGAGTATCCACCCTTCAAATGTTATATCCGTTAACTCTGTGTTCTAAAGACACATTCAAATCAACATGCGCCATTTGAATATGTTGCCGGTTTGCCTCTTCTTCTTTCATGTTACACATATGCATTCAGTTCACATCTACTGTACTCTGCATGTGGCTGTTGCACTGGAAGATATGCACACTGTCCACAGATATGGAAGAAATATCCTTACTATTAAATACTAACTTACTGAGTTGAACTTCCTTACTTACTCGTTTTCTCCCGTTGTTCCCAACCCCAAGCCAAAACCATTTTTCTACCTGTCAGTAAATTTCCATTTTGCAAAATAAATCTATCTTTACATCTTCTTCTGCCCCGGGATGTCCCTGTGATGTCCTGCTTTAGGCCAGTAGAAACGGGGCAACTGGAGTGGAGCTGGACCTGAGTTTCACAGCGGATGGAGTGCCCATACTGATGCATGATGAGACTGTGGACCGCACCACCAACGGCTCTGGACCAGTTAGCAATCTGCTGTTGGTCCAACTTAAGAAACTAGATGCTGCTGCTCGTCACAGGCTGAAGTAAGCTGCACATTGAGCCGTCACTTCTACTAGTCTAGCTTGTGATTCAATGTTTGGATAAAGAAACAAAGGACAGTGGTACCGTGACATAAGATGTACTTGTCACCATTTAAAGTATCTCTACTCGGTTGCTTTGTCACAAATTTGAAAGACAATAAGGGAGAAATCTCATCTCCAGGGACAAGTTCAGTGGGGAGAAGGTCCCAACTCTGCAGGAGGCAGTGGAGGAATGCATCAGACACCAGCTGACCATCTTCTTTGATGTCAAAGGTCAACCTGATAAGGTACTAAAAAGGACTTCATAAATAATATATGAATGCATGCATATATGGAACAATGATGTAAGCTGGCTGTAGCCTAAAGATATGCTTTAATGCAGAGACGTTATAGCTGTCTGTCTCTGCAATCGGCCTCCTAGCCAAGCGGCTCACTAAGATTGCCTTCTTTTTTTTACCTACATTTTGACCCTTATCGGAGGCACTAATTCTGGTAATCTCTTTACACAAGACGGTTTATTATCGGATATTTAAATAATGTTCTGTTGGTAATCTCTTGTTTTTTTATGGAACATTGAAAACGTGTCCTCTTTTCTAGGCTGCATCAGTGCTCCGTGAGATGTATAAGAAGTTCCCTGTCCTTTACAATTCCAGCATTGTTTCTTCCTTTGAACCCAAAGTCATCTACAAGGTAACAGAAAATATGACTGATTAACACAAATGAAAGCCTTTAGAAAGCTATTACAATGTTTTTAGGGGGTGTTTTGTTGCTACAACCCAAGATGAAATGGATTTCTGGTTTGCTGCTTTTAACTGAACCATCACACATATTGTCATAAAAGTAAAGAGACTGCTTCTGACTGAAGAGGCAGACCCTTTTTCTAATTCTGACAGTACTCTGTTGACTCCGCTCACAGATGCGCCAGACGGACCCCAACGTGGTCACGGCTCTCATCCACCGCCCCTGGAGACTGAGCCGCTTTAGCGATGGCACTTCTCGGTCCCTGACGACATCGGGTCAGCTGTGGATGGGGATTCTGGACGTCTTGTTGGACTGGGCCCACCACCACATACTGTGGAAACTCTGTGGTGTCTCTGCCATCCTCGTACAAAAAGACTTCATCTCACTGTAGGTGACATTTATTTTTTTTTTTGGCGTTAAAATGCACAGCCGCAAAGCTCAGGGCTAACGATGCCTAACGATATACCCGTCTTTCTCATATATATATTCACTATGCTATATCATGTACTTATTGCAACTAACAGATATTTGTCTGGCTGTGGGGCTTATCTTATTTAGTGAGCTGTAAATGTATTTCCTTCCTCCTTTCGCTCAGGGACTACGTTCAGTACTGGGCCGACCGAGGTGTGGAGGTGGTGGGCTGGATTGTTAACACTGCTGTGGAGAAAGACTACTACCAAAATCTGCTGAAGATTGGCTACATCACTGAGAGTCTGCTGGAAGACTGTGATCCACGTTACTGAATGATCACACACACACACACACACACACACACACACACACACACACAGACACACACACACACACACACAGGGATGATTTAAATCTCAAGTGTTTTCAACTTGTAAAAGATGACATTTTGGAAACTCCTTAGTTTGACAAGACTACATAATTACCATAATTAATACATTTCCCAGTTTATTGTCCATTTGAAGGACATAAAATACTAAATTATATGTAGAAATAAATGTATGTATAATATGTAGATGAAGTTAATTATAAGATGGGGGGGATGCTAGATATTTGGTGCTAAACAACATTGTTGTGGCAATCGAACAATCCAAGCTTTATAGAAATATATGTGATTTACTGGAGAGGTAAGAACACGGCATTACCTGTAGCTGGCATACAGGTCATTTCCTTTTAAATCCAGTAAACCACAAAGACCCAGCTCTATACTTCCTAGTCTTTATCCTACTACCAGCAGCATTACCTATAACTCTCCTAGACCAGGATTAGGTTACATAGGGTTATGGTCCATTAAAAGACTTTTCTACCTTCTGTTCTGATCTTTCAGAAACATCCGTGTAAATAGTTGTAACGTTATATTTGTAACATATCAATGCCTGCTATCGTGAGATTTATTTACTAATAGACTATTAACAAGGGATTTTCTCCAGTCTGTTATGATGATCATTGATTGTTCAGTAACTTGCCTTCTATCATTACTCATTAACTGCACTAATACACAAGAATTTTAATTGAAATAATATCAGATTTGATGCTCCAACGAAGGGAAAGTAAATGTGCCAATGAATCCTGAGACACATGTGAGTGTAAACTCAAAGATATTCTTCATATATACTTCTTTAATACCTTCATAATGAATCATCAGAGAAGGAAAACAATTTGTTTGTGATATTGGCTCGTACCTGAATTGTAAAAACAAAATATTGTAAATAAAAATAATAATGACAAAATCAAATAAAAATATAGGTGCAAATTACCATGTCATCCACGAAATTGTTTTTGGACTAGATACCATAAAACCTTTTCATTTAACTTTTCAGTCATATTTCCTGTTATAATGATCTAATGCTGCTTTAAACAACTCTCCTCAGAGCTTTAAGAGGGAGAAATGCTTTCTCTTATTTTAATCTAACTTAATTGTTTTGCCTGAAAACGGTCACATTTAAACTTGTTTCTCAGAGTTAAATATATATATATAAACATGTATCTTTTCTTTCTCTTTCCTGTAGTGTTAAGAATGTCTTGTATTCTAGTAAGAGATAAATCACTCGTCAAAATATCTTATGTTCCTCTTCTGAAATAAAAGAATGTAACTCCAGTTTGCACAACTGATGGAGGTTAATAAGTGAAAACCCTAAATTATAGTTTTAAAAAAAGTATTAGTACGAGTGTTCTTTGTATTGATTTCTGTTAATTGCCAGCTGGGTATCTTTGTCCACCCATCTTTTAATTGATCACATTATCAGTCAGTATATTCTCTAGTAAAGCTCGGTTGCATTGTAAACATAGTGTTGTGTATGTGATTGCACTGTGCACCTGACCTCACCTGCGTGTACTGTAAACACTGTTGGGCACATGGGGGCCACATGAAGCAGCAGACAAATGATCCCCATTGAATAAATTCTCATTCTGCAAGTTTAACTCATCTGGTAGCATTTGATTTATGTAACATCCAGGAACATGTGTAGCGGGGGAAGTAATTATTGATACAATTATTTATGGAATTGTGAAGAAAATAGTGGACCTCGGTCTCTCGTCGGCGTTACAAATGTCGGGGGACACTGTCTCTTTAAAACGCCGAGGGAGGCGCGTATGAACGTCAAGAAGTGGTGCGCTTCGACGGTGTGCGTCCACTCATGAATGGCAGACGCTGTTTCAGGTTGTGTGACATTGTGGAAGTGCAGGACACTTCAGCACCCAAAGTGAGTTACGTTAAAGGTCTGGACTGGGGGACCGGCAGGTGAAAGGGGGGAGGGTCGCTGGATGAGATGCGCCCCGACTGCTGGTTTTACGCGGAGGAGAAATCGGCGCACGGTTCTGTTCTCTACGCGGTTACCAAACACCTTGTGTCGTCTCATGTCAGCTCTGTGCATTTGCGTTGGCTTCAAACTTTCGCCCTGTGAGTGGAATCCAGCCTGATCAGCTGAGGAGAGGACTGACACTTATTCGCACATCAAGGGAGTCTTTTACTCATCGACAGATCCTGGAGCAACGTGTTCGACTTACAGTGCCCTTGATTAAAGTAGGCGTGCTGTCCCTTTGTACCTGCACCGTCTGGACTTGTTACTTCAAAGTGCCAAACTCAAATTTCACAGGTGACTCTTCCTGCGCATGATGTACACAATTGCAAGAGGTCCCAGCAAACTGGTCACCCAGCGACGGACAGGTGAGACACTGAACACACCGATCCAGCAGACATTCACTTGGTACCAATTGTTTTGTCTTGTTTTTTTTAAAAGTAAAATATGAATTTTCCTTAATTTGTAGGGCAGACTCAGCAACTTGACAACCAAATAAACGACTTCAAGCACAAACAGACGTCCTGGAGTATCCCTGAGTAAGTGTGCAACTGTTGGAGTGACATCTCCTGCTGGTAATGAAAACCCACCCTAGTGCCCCCAGTACTGCCTCTGTGATGCTTTTTCATGTGTGTCCAGATTAAGTTGCGTGTGTTAGTAAATGACAGTGTCCTAGCAGCAGTGGACGTCACCAGCTTCAGACGGACGGCGTTTGTTCATCAGCCTGAATGATTTATAACTTCTTCACACAATAGCTTCACTGAGACTCGGTCTGCCTGCTGGGCTGTTTTGCTACCTTTAAACCACCCAGTGTGTGTGTGTGTGTGTGTGTGTGTGTGTGTGTGACCTTGTAGGAAGTCAAGGAGGGACATGGTCCTTCATTCAGCTGTTCAATCTCTGACTCCCACACAACCAACCCTGCTTTTTAGGCCCAAAGGCTGATACTTTTGAGACATGAGAGTTGTCAGATGTGCAGAATTTGCAGAAAACATCAGATTAATTTGTGACATGTTGTTGTTGTTTTTTCTTATACCCATCAGCCTTCCTGCACCCAAGATAGTTTTCAGCCGTCCGAATGGTAAGAAGTACCATCACCCTGCTCCGGCTCTCCCTGCAGACCACCAGCAGGAAGAGAGCTTCACACCTGTGCATGAGGAAAACGTCAAATTTGTCTATGACGGTAAGGGAATACATGAACAGGAAATACGAGACAACACTTTTTATTGTCTCACTGTTACCAAAAACCTGTTCCTCGTCGACTGTTTTGTGAATGCCATTGTTTCACCATCAAGTGTTTAAATTAAATGCTAACCTCCCCCCCCCCACCTCTCTGAGGCCTCACCCACACACAGCTGCTCTGACACTGATAGCCATGATAGGCACCTAGCAGAAAAATGCCTTCACACCCACATATCACACTTCTCATGACCCACGGTGGCACATGTGCTGAAGGAAATAGCATTTTTGGCACTAGCAGCCACTGGGGGAAAGGAGTCTTGTTGTCCCCCTTTAAGGTAAACAAAGACTTCTGACAGGCTGAAGTGTTTTATTGGGTCTGGATGAATCTCTGTGACCCAGTTTTGGAGTGAGCACTTCTCTTTAACATGCACAGGCTCTCATTCAGTCTCTGGGAGACTTCATGTAGCTTGGCTACTTGGTGTTGAAGCTCAGCCACAGCAACTCATAAACAACTCCAGTAACCTTGGTGTTTAGTGGACAAGGACACAAAGAAGGC